GTGTTTCTGAGTAATTGGAATAATTACCAACCTGCAGGGAACTGTCTGACACGTTTATCAGAACCATACGACTGGACTTCTTTCTACCTCGGAGGAGACGTGTCAGTCCTGTTTGAGGTTTTATAAACATCTCGTGTCATTTTTCAGGGATTTTAGTTCATTTATGTACAAAAACAACAACAAAGAGGCCTGTTTGTTGTGCGACTGTATGACATAAAATTGGCTAAACAAAGAGTTTCTCTGAGTCCAGGCCAACGTCAGGTACTTTCCACTTCCTCCAAGGAAACTTTCGAGTGTCCCGCTGAACAAGTGAAGCTGTAATCGCTGCTAAAAGACGCCTGGTGCAGCCACTGACTCTGCAGTGTGAAACCCCTGAGTGCCGCTTGTTTATGTCAACATGAGAAGCCATCGTCACTTTCCTCTCTCCGTGATCAGAGCCTCGAGGGCTCTCGTGTCGTCCCCGGGGGAGGCTGTTGTTTGGTTCTCACAACAATGAGCTCATCGCCGAGGCTCATGGCGAAAGGGGATCCATGTCTCAGCGCCGGGGCGACGTTTCCAACCAGCAGGTGGACCTACAAGACGGTTTGATTAATCCAGCGTACATGGATTAATGCTGCCGGCCTGTGATCTAACAGGTCACGATGAATAAATCAAAAGCCCGACAACATTAAACTTTAAGGAGAGAGTTTTAAAACAAGCTGATCGGATTGTTTGTTAGCTGAGACGCTATGTGAGCTATCAGGAGTGTGTGAGCATGTTTGCATAACTTTTACTAAATGATAAAACATACAGGAAGGAGTCATTTAGATATCATATTCTTCATATATGCATTGTTTTTGTAGTACTTTTCATGCTATGCTATGCTATGCTAGTGATGTCATGTCATGTGATGTTATGTTTTGTTGTTGTATGCTATGCTATGCTGTGTTGTTGTATGCTATGCCATGTTATATTATGCTATACCATGCTATTATATGTCTTGTCATGCTGGGTTATGCTATGCTAAGCTATATATGCTATGCTGTATTGCGACTTGCTATGCTATGCTGTGCTATGTTAAGCTATTTTATGGTATGCTATGTTATGCTATGCTATCTAAAGCTATATATACTATACTATACTATATTGTGACATGCTATGCTATGCTATGCTATATTATGCCATAGTATGCTGTGTCATGTCATGCTATGTTATGTTCTGCTATGCTATGCTAAGCTATATTATCCTATGCTATGTTGTGGCATGCTATGCTATGCAATACTATGCTATGTTATTTAATGCTATGTCATGTCAGGATATGTCATGCTATGTTATACTAGGTTATGTAATGTTATGCAATGCTATGCTATGTCATGTGATATAATGATATGTTATACTATGCTATGCTATTGTGTGCTGTCCTGTGTCAAACCAGGTTATGTGGTGTTATTGTTCATCTCGATGTCATATGATGTTACCCCACATTACATTACATCATGTTACGTTGCATCATGTTGTCACATCATGTTACCTCATATGACTTTGCACGACATAGCATGGAGCTGTGCAGTGTCATGAGGCCCAGTGTCCTCAGGTTCCACTACTTTGTGCTGTTATGTTGGCCTATATTATATAATATAACACACAGGTTCAGTTCAAATCATCCACTGCAGGTCACATTATAGATGTCATCACAATGAGCTTGTGTTGTGATGTGTGATGCCGTGTGACCTCCTGTTATAAAAGATGTTGGTTTTTTTTTCTTCCAGTAAGCCATTACAGCGAGCCAGCATGAGGCCCTGAGGCTGCAGCAGCTAAATGGAATTCAGCCATTATTAATTTCATTATATACACACACGCTCTTCCTGGAGCGACAGGCCAAGAAATCTTCTGTGAAACAGCCCACGTCGTGTCGCTTCAGGTCAGGTGTCACGTCCTCACGTCCTGTCGGGTTATTTAATGTTACGCTGGTCTACCTGCTGCTGTGTCACACTAACACATGTCAGGTTGGGCTGTGTTCAGTCACATGAAGTTGAATTTTGTCGACATTAGAGCAGCGTTGGAAGCGATGCTGCGTCCTCCCACCTGTAGCGCCTTCACTCTGGCAGCAGTGTCTTCTGGTGATGCGATGGCACAGATACGCCGGCTCCGGTTGCGAGATCTTATCAAGTGATTAGCAAATCCTGCGTGGTCATTGCTCGGTGTTCTGCCTGACAACAGAGCGGCTGTTTGTTTTGACTGTGTCCACCGAAACTGGGCCACGGGATCGTCTGTCGTTTCTGTGTGTGAGACGGAGAAACAGCAAAAGAAACACTGCAGGAGCTTTACACGTTTTCAAACATAATATATGAATTTTGTCTCCCACATTATTTATTCATTTGTATGTAGCATGAACTGATGCATTTAAAACCTGAGCTCATCTGTAACACCTGTCTGTCTCTAGATGGGCCTGAAAAACACACAACGGACATAAATACATACATTAAAAACACAAAAGTCCAAATGCAGCACCATAAACATGAAGCATCGGTAAATCATCTTCGCTCAAAATCCTGGAAACATCTAATAAACATGCCAGAGATCCCTCTGTTCTGTCCAAAATATTGCTAAAATATGCTCCACATAACTTTATGTACTCTTTGGTTGCACTGTATTTAGGTATTTCCTGGGGAGTAGTGGAAGTGCCAAAGTACAAAAATAAATCAATAAAAGAATAATAAAATAAAAGTGGAAATAAAAAGAAGAATAAATAAAATAAAAAATAAATAATGTGGCAATATAAAGCAATTTAAATCAAAAATGAATCCATCAATGAAAAGGCTAACAAAAGGAGACATATAAAGACAAATACATAAAATTATAAAAATAATAATCATTAAAAAAAGTTTACATTTATTTTTAGAACAAGGAAAAAAATAAAGTAAAAAAATATATAAATTTAAAAAAATAAAAATAACTACAAATAATTATTTTTTAAAAATAAACAAAAAATATATATTTTTAAAAAACATCATTTTAATTTAAAAAAAAATTATTTATTTGTCTTTATATTTCTACTTTAATTATCTTTTTCTTTTCTGGATTCATTTTTGATTAATATTGCTTTATATTGCCACATTATTTATTTGTATTTTATTTATTCTTCTTTTTATTTCCACTTTTATTTTATTATTCCTTTATTGATTTATTTTTGTAATTTGGGACGCTCACTATTCCATAATAGCCTTCAAAAAAAAAGCAAACAGTACAATTTGAATCTCTCTCAGGAGCTTTAAAGTCAAACTGAAAACTTTGCTAATAGCTGTGCAGTTATTTAATTATTAATTACTCTCTCTTGGTTGTTTATTTGTCTAACAAACACGTCTAGAAAATGTGCTGCAAAGTTGTGTCTGATCAGTTAAGTTAAATTCATTCTTACAGCACATATCCAAACCTTATTATATCTATATATAACTATGCATTTAGGGAAGAGCCCAGACGTTTCTAATGATGTGAACAGTGTCTCTGTTCTACTCGAGCGTCCCAGGAAGCCTTTGTTTTATTATTTATGTCTGCCCTTTTCACACTGTGACATGTCAACACGTCCTCTGGGAAAATAGCCTATTGACTGGATTTCTCATAAATAAACTAAACAAACAAAGAAAATAAGCCCAGATCAAAGTATCAGAAATAAAAATAGTTCTAATGCAAAATGATTCAGAGTGTGTATTATAATGCTTGTAGTATAAAGGTGTTTTAAAAGTGTTTTAAAGTTGCAGTTTAAAGAGATGAAGAAAAGTTGTCTTTATCTCAATTATATTAAAATCTGTTTTGCATGTAAAATCTTAGGGCTGCAAGGTGGATCGGTGGTCAGCACCACTGCCTCGCAGCTAGAAGGTCGCCGGTTTGCATCCCAGTGAGGACACCCGAGATCTTTCTGTGGAGTCTCCATGTTCTCCCCGTGCAGCGTGGGTTCTCTCCGGGTTCTCCGGCTTCCTCCCACAGTCCAGAAACATGTTGAGGTTAATTGGTGATTGTAAATTGTCCGTAGGTGTGAATGTGAGTGTGCTTGGTTGTCTGTCTCTAAGTGTAGCCCTGTGATAGACTGGTTACCTGTCCAGGTGCCTTCACCCTGAGTCAGCTGGGATAGGCTCCAGCCCCCCATGACCCTGGTGAGGATTAAGGTGTAGAGATGATGGATGGATGGATGGTTTCATACTTTAATGATTTTAAACTAACAGTGTGCAGTTTCTGTTACTGCTTTAAAGCTGTATGCTACTGATCAAAACTGTATGATAGTGCTTGTAAACGGTATATTACCGCTTACAAACTGTATTTTACTGGTTATAAACATTATATTATGGCTTATTCACTGTATATTACTGCTTTAAACTGTGTATTATCACTTTAAATTGAATATTACCACCCATAGCCTGTATATTACTACTTTAAAGTGAATATTACTACTTTAAACTGCATACTTTAAACCAGGGGTGTCCAATCCTGGTCCTCGAGGGCCACAGTCCTGCATGTTTTAGATGTTTCCCTTCCTCCAACACACCTGATTCAAATGATCAGGATCGTTATCAGCCTTCTGCAGAGCTTGATGATGAGCTGATCATTTGAATCAGGTGTGTTGGAAGAAGGGAAGCATCTAAAACACGCAGGACTGTGGCCTTCGAGGACCAGGATTGGATACATAGTCCGTACTCCACAGACTGTATTCGGCCTGTGGGTAAAGCTGGTCTGTTGGCCGCTGCCTCCCTCTAGTGGACAACGTGTTAATTACGCCTCTTCTAAAACTCCAAAAACTTTTTGTTTCCACGATAACATTGAAGTTTTTTTTCACCAAACCTGTCAAAGCGATGTCCAAGACCATTTTCCAGTCTGTTTTTGGTAGAATAATAAAAACCTAAACTCAGAGTTTTTCCGGAGCGGTGCTGTCTCTTTAAAACCACCGACTGGCTCACTATTTGGCAGGAAGTTAGCCGCGGCTAACAGGAAGCCGGACAATGACGCCACCGTGAGGAGCAGGATTTGGCAGCGAGCAGCGAGTCCAAACAGTCCGAACAGTCCGAACAGCTCGCTTCTGTCGGCGCAAGTCCCCCTGAAACAGGTAACACCGACCGGCACCGTGACTGGGGCGGGTGTACGCGGTCCCTCTGCGGGGTTTCTGCGCGTCGTCCGGCCGCCTGCGGAGGTTCGCTCCCGCCGCGGACGGTTCGGCGCTTTGTAGCCGCTCAGACATGGCTCGGTGTGTTCACGTTACTGGCCGGGGACACCGCAGGACACGAAATAGAGCAGAGGGACACTTTACCGGAGCTCAGGTGGACTTTAACGTGACCACTCTGCCTCTGCGGTGCCCCGGTGCTGCTGCGGCGGCTCCGGGGACGTGGGTCCATCCTGTGCGCGGCTCTAAGACGCTTACAGCAGCTTTGGGGACGCGTGAAGGATTTGTCGGTTCGGGTTGTTGTGTTGCTCACACCTGGCTGATCACCTGTCACCGCCGTGGGTCCAGACCAGAGTGGGACTGTCGACATTTTGGGCTTCACCGGTCATTGTTCTGCTAAATGTGATAAGTGGAGCAGAAAGTCAAGCAAAAATACTCTGATTACACCGAGATTACTCAGATCTAGAGATTACCCACAACCCTTGTTTTAAAGCTACGATGCATGAAATAGTTATTAAGTCATTAAATATGATTAATCTCCTCCAGCTATACACTGATCTGCCATTTTTAGGATTGATATCAGTTATTAGTGATCACAGCTGATCAGGATTTGAAGTAAAACTGAAAATCTTGGTGTCAAACTTCAGAATAAACTCCAACATCAAACTTTGTATAGATAGGTAGATGGATAGATAGATAGATTACTTTATTGTCATTCAATTAGTACATTAAAAGAAATAAAAATGCACAAAATAACGAGCACAGGTCACAGACACAATAAATACAACCTAGAAGTAGTAAAAGCCAAACACGGATACCTGAATAAATTAAATTAGAATCCTTTTTAGATTGCACTAAAAAATGAATAGATCAAAACTCAAAACCAGTGTTGCAGAAATAAAACATAAGACATATTTATTTGTCCTGAGAATTTAAGAGTCTGATGGCAGAGGGGTAAAAACTGTGACGAATCCTGGTGGGTTGGTTAGCACCGTTGCCTCACAGCTAGAAGGTCGCCGGTTCGCGTCCCGGTGAGGACACCCGGGATCTTTCTGTGTAGTCTCCATGTTCTCCCCGTGCAGCGTGGGTTCTCTCCGGGTTCTCCGGCTTCCTCCCACACAGTCCAAAAACATGCTGAGGTTAATTGGTGATTGTAAATTGTCCGTAGGTGTGAATGTGAGTGTGCTTGGTTGTCTGTCTCTAAGTGTAGCCCTGTGATAGACTGGTTACCTGTCCAGGTGAACCTGCCTTCACCCTGAGTCAGCTGGGATAGACTCCAGCCCCCCATGATCCTAGTGAGGATTAAGTGGTGTATAGATGATGGATGGATGGATAATGTTTACTAAAAGGAGACCCTTTCAGCCTGTTTCCTTCGGTGTTAATAGGCTATTACTAATAAGATGTGACCAGTTCCAGGGTGCTTTGGACAAAGACAGAACGGCATTAGAGGCAAAATAGCAAATTTTAAAATTATTTCATGCTTTGTTGGCTGAAAAAACAAAAAGCAAAACATCAGATCCTGTATGGATCCTGAAGCATTTAATATGCAAAGACTGTGTATTTAAAAACACTCTATGATGTGAGTTCATGCATTGGAGGCTTCATTCGCTATTTATGCAATGAGCATTTTAGAGCAACGAGCTGATCAAATGATCAGTTTTTAATCATTTTAGTTTTTTTTTCTGAAGCAATAATTCTTAAAGTACATCTCCTGTAGCATCTCTGATGTGATGCTTTGTCTTCAATGTCTTTGGATATTAGACGTGTGTGGATGTGATTTAAGCCGTCTGTCACAGTTTCTACCAATTTATTCATCAAATCATTCATAAGAAGACAAGTTGAACAAACTTTTCACGGCCTCGCTGACAGACATCATTCTGCTCAGTCAAGGTGTACCATTGAGCAACATTTACAACACATTTTTGAGTGGAAGGGACTTTAAATAGTTGTTTTTAAGCAGCTCATGAACTAATCTTCCTCATTGCAGGAGGAACCAGCAGTCGTCCACCCGTGTATGAAGACAAGTCGGAGGCAGCTATGGTGAGTGAAAAGCAAAATATAAAAGACTGAATGTGATTTTACAGGTTTTAGTGATGTGGCAGGAAGTGACGACACAGTGGACTCTTTACGGATGTTAGTTCAATATATAAATATGAAAACTTTTTCTCCTCTCGTTGTCAGTCTTCAGCGGTGGATCTCAAGACCAAGGAGGAGAAGGATGCGGAGCTGGACAGACGAATCGAAGCTTTGAGGAAGAAGAACGAAGCTCTGGTCAAGAGGTACCAGGTGAGGAGGTTTTACACATGAAGTGCGTCTTGGTATCGCCACGTCAAGTTAAGGATACGACTCCAGAATGCTAAAATACAACTTCGACTAGTCAGAGTGTTGTCACTGACTTTTCTGGGGGGTTGATGTGCGATCTAAAGGACCAGAAAGTAGCTGCCTGTCCTTCAAAAGCTCTGAAATATGTCAAAATAAAACTGGCGGATTTGAGAGGAAATAGATCAACTTCTGTGTAGTAGTTAAGTGGGTACAGATCCCTGAGTTCATGTCACTTTAAATAAAAATGAATCCACTTGGTTTCACACGTGTATAACTAAATGTTTCATATAAGAGCTCAGCAAGTTTAGGAATCAGAATCTGTTCATTTCCTTTTTTTCAGAGCTTTTAACTTTTATATTCAGCCAAAATAAAAACAGTTTAATTTTCTAGATTTAATCAGTTTTCTCAACTGTAAATTACTCCAAAAGTTGCAGGAGTGAAATCTGAATATTTGTTCGGCTTTTCTTCGGTTAATTCTCATTTACAAGCTTCCAGGAGCCTATAAGCATTATTTTAGCTTCTCACAGCCGAAGCACGGCGTCGCTGAAATATTTAACGAGTCAGATCACTGCTGTGTGTTTTTGGGGATGTCCTGGGATTTCCAGCCGCCGGATGATGATCAGAGGCGGCACAGGAAAGGTTTTAACAGTCAAAACAGATTTTCATTCACGGCTTTTACTGTCCTCCAAGTAGCACGTATCTAGAAAAAAAACCCAAAAAACAGCAACTTCAAGGGCCGAGTACATTATCAGGCTGGTTTAAGATAAGATGAGATAAAACTTAATTCTCCTGAAGGTAATTCTTGTGCCAGATATTATGTGATTACTGACGTTTACTGTGAGATCCAGTGTAAGTCAATTATATTCAGTGTTTGTCAAATCCTTTAGAACAGATTTTAAATAAATCTGTTGTGCTGTAATGCGCCTGATTCTCTCTCTCAAAACCAGATTATGAGTTACGTATAATTGAATATAACAAGTCTGTTAAGTTGGATGAATGATCTGTAAGACACAATAACAATAAGTACGGATCCTTTGTCGCTTAATTTCCCTTTTTTTCTTTATTTTTCCATTGCTTCCAAACAGCTTCAAGAAGTTTGTATTGTGCCTTGTATCTGTTTGGTTTTCTGCTCTTAAAAGAAGATTTATAAATGTCCAAAAAACACTAGTGAATAAAAATATTTCTAATTGTGTGGCTGCTACCTTTTGGGTTTTATGGTGCGTCCACTGTTTTAATGCATCACTGTACACTAAAGCCACAAATGCACAGTTTTATAATTATCATAAAGAATAAAAAATGATTTTTTTACTAACTGAATGTAATACAGAGACACTTCAACTTTATAAATACTGTCCAGAAAGATAGTTTACTCTCATTTTTCCAGCTGGAAAACTCCTAATTTTCCTTTGTGCATCAGCAACATCACGCTTTTTTATTGTGACACTTAATTTTCCCACTTTTCTAATTAGAACGCAGCGTGCCGCACTTATTTCTAATTAGTCTGGATGTGACGTTGCGGCCTCTGTCTCACTCGATCCCAACAGGAAATAGAGGAAGACAAGAAGAAGGCGGAGCAGGAAGGCATCGCCGTGACGACGCCTCGCAAGCCCCGCCCCCACGAGCCGGAGACGGACAGGCGGAAGACGGAGAAGGAAAACTTCACCGTCACGGTCGACCTCTCCAAAGCCGCGGGGGTAAGACGCCATCTTGTTTTAGAGGCTTTTGAAAACGACTCAGTGAACATCAGGATCCTGCGGCACATCCGTCTGAGGTGACTTCATGTGTTTTGTGACGAGCCTGCGGACAGGACGCAGCTTCTGAACTCTGACTGATTCCTGTTGCCGTCATCTGCTTCCAAACCACACACCTGCCAGTCTGCCCACAACGCCCGGCGGCGCTCCTCACACTTTGCTTCACATTTAGGACGGGAAGTGCTTTTAGGTTAACCCAAAAAATCTGCACATATTACATAACAAAAACTAGGACGAGTGTTTGTTTGTGACTCTGTTTACGGGATTAGATGGTTTGCATGGAGAGGAATCAGTTGACGCCTTTAAATCAAATCAGATTTATTAATTTAAACGACACGAGTCGACCAAAGTGACTGAAAGTTAAACAGTAAAAGAGGCCAAGCAGGATCTCGGTCACACAAGCGTCCTTCGTCTGACGCAGTGCGTACTGTATGTTGTGATATATGTTTTTAATATCGTAATTCTTCTGGGTGTTCTGAATTAAACACCTGTAAATCAGTGCCTCCATCACACTCCTGTAAGTTTGGCAATAAAGCCGTCCTGCTGAATAATTCGCCTCCAGCTCTTAAGGGCCCAATAAAACGGGCCGTATTAAAAGCATCGTCCTGCAGAAGAAAATAAAAAATAACAACAATCAAGCTGGAGGCATAAAATTAGAACAAAATCCCAGAAGTTACGCTGTGAGAGTTTACGAGATGAGAGTTTTCTGTTTGGCCGCCGCTCTGCTTCTGCTGCGGACAGAATTAGATTTGGCAAACGCTGATCTGGCAATCGTCTAAAAACAGAGCCGAGATGATTGAACCAGTCGTACCTGTTAGACCGACGTAATGTCGTAACGGCACAAACCCAGTGAGCTTCGGTCGACATGCTGAAGGTGATCCGTTTAGCCAGATCTCGATGCTGTTGGCTTAAGTTTTTGCAACTCTTATTGATATTTTAAAGGAAAAACCTCCAAGCGTGCACGTTTTTAAAGGCTTTTTGGCTGCTAACATTCCATATTTATATTATTTTAGGTATGAATCTTGCAAGTTTTAGTGTTTTGTGCCATTAATAATAGATTTTACTTGTTTTATATTGTCTCTACATTTATTTTTTATAGTGTCAAGTTTATTTTATCAACTCCACTTAAGCTTTATTGTAATTCAGCAATGTACGTTGTAAATAGTTAAACGAAATGACGTTTCTCACATCCATTCCCAGTGCAAAAACAATTAAGAATAAATATAAGGTACAACACAAACACAAGCATACATCAGACACAATCATTCTCGCTACTGGGGTGATAATGGGTGACCTTAATGTGACTGCAGTTTTGAGTTTATTCAGTTTATTTTATCTGTCTGCTTATATATATATATTTTTGCTGCTTGTCTGCAAACATGTGCAGCACTTTGGTCGACTCAGGTTGTTTTTAAACGTGCTGCAGATGTAAATTTGATTAACCATAAAGGTTTTTAATCGTTAACCGAGAACCACGTGGCGGACAAACAGATCCTATGTTTGTGAGTTTTCTCCAAAAGGCTCTTTTTAAACTGAACAGAAGATGTGCAGCTGCAGTGTTTTGGTGTTCAGGTCACATGAAGCCTGTTCGCACATCAAGAAATTTTAATAAAGTCAAATTAAAATCAGCTACGTATGCATGTAGTTTATATAACTAAAATATAAATTGATAAAAATGTAATTTGTGTTTTTTGCAGCAGAAAAAAGCAGCACAGCACCAAAATATAATCACCTTTTACACATACTAGAGCTGTATTTATGGTCACCTGATGGATTTAAGTTCAGTATTCGCTCTTTTTAAGCTCTTTTTTTTGGGGTCTCAACAGACTCCTGCAGGAGATTTTTGGCTCTATAGCTGCTAAATGCTCCAGTGATCAGCAGCCAGTCGCTAACTGAGCCTGTCTGCCGTTTGGTGCAGTGGCGTTTCACACATTTGTCCCTGAAAGCAGCCGCTGCTGCAGGCGAGAGTGAACAAAACAGCCAAGTTGGGCTCAGTGGGTTCATTAGATTTTAGTGCAAAAACATCACTTTCTTAAGTAGAAACCATCGCGGTCAAATAAGATGAGTGACATATTTCTAATCAGCCCTCCTGTGGGTCGAAGCGGGGCGGCTGAAGTTGCTGCTAATCGGTGTAACGGAGCAGCGAGCTCCTGCTGAGGTCCAGATTGCCTCAGAAATGACTGCAGACCCCCAGCGTTCGACCCGAAGAGCAACAAGGTGGCCCCGGCTCTGCACGTTTAGCTGCTCCAACGATTCCTGGCTGAAGCTTCAGATTGTTGCTCGGTTGAACCTTTTCCTGAAGCTCCTGAGCGGTGCGTTTGAGGAGCTTTTAGACAATCTGATGCCTCTTCCTCTCTTAGTCGTCACCTCTCAGCCTCTCTGTGACTTTATCATGTTGTCGTTTTGCATAATCCGAAGCCCAGATTAGTCTTTTTGAACTTTAAACGGCAGCAGTTCTTCACATTGAAGAGATTGAATCTGCTTAAGAGTCAAATTCAGAGCAGGGAATCCTTTTCTTTTCTCGTCCTCTGGCTGCTGCAGATGTGCAGACTTTTAGTGCCACCAGCAACCACACTTGATTTCAAGCATAGATTCTAAGGGAGCGTACATCTGCAAAATCTGAATGCACAAACAATGAAATAAAACTCCCAGAGAGCTGTGGTTGTAGATTGTGAGCTCTGTTTGGATTGCAACAGAACAAAATGTGACCTTCAAGTCATTGACTCACGTTGGTCGTTAGATTTATGAGCAGCAGAATGTGGAAAAAACAAATACAGCAGCCTTAAATGCAAACATGCACTTTGGTTTCTTAATTTAATAAATGGGTTGAAATCCGAAAGGTTCCGTTTTGTCCCCACTGACTGAAATGATGAAGACGTGCTGCAGTGGGAGGAGGTCAGAGCTGCATGTGAGAAGCTCATTTAAATAAGAATTTCATTGGACCTCAAGTTATTTCTCTTCAAAAGAACATGACTTCCATAGAAACGAGCCGATATTGATGCACTGACGTCGGCTGTGTTTGTTTCCTGCAGGACAAGAGAGTCGTGAATGACTGGAAACCGGGAACTCCTCGCGGCCGCAAGTCGTCGGAGGAGAGCGACGGCCACAGAGGGCAGAGCGACGGCCGCAGCCCCCCCAGGAGGACGGGTTCTGGACGGGTGGGTCGGGGAGGTCAGCGAGGAGGTGGAGGAGGAGGAGGAGGAGGAGGAGGTGGTGGAGGTGGTGGAGTAGGAGGAGGAGGAGGTGGTGGTGGTGGATTAGGAGGTGGAGGTCGCCCAGAGAGGAGAGACCGGGAACCCAGGACACCCAGAGATGGAGAACCCGGTGAGGCGGGAGTCCAGGGACGCAGAGGAGGACGGAGAGGACGAGGAGGAGAAGGAACACCGGGCGGGATGGACAGGAAGTCCAAGGTGAGTGTGGAGGAACCGAGCCAAGGCATTAAACTTGATTTATCTCTGCTTGTACGTGCACTGGAGTCGGCTGGTTACTCACATAAATAGAAAGCATTGAAAAACACGTCACCTGACTTGTTTCATTTTTGTGGTTTATGATCATTTTACAAACATGATGCTGACAGATGTAGTGTGTCCCAGTGCATCCTATAGACTGACATCATTAGGATACTGGGGGAAAAAAAACAACATACTTAAACTTTTTATTAATTAAAGGTAATCCAGAGATACTAAACTTTGCAAATCTAGTTTACCGTCATTTTTCCGGTTTGGAGCAGCGCCTACGTTTTCTTTCTTTGTGCATATTGACTATAATCCTCTCACTTTTCCTACATGAACACACTGTACTGACTGTAAACCTGCTTAGAATTAGTGTAGACTTTGACTTTGGGGAGTTGAGGCGCTGTATTTTATTTATCGATGCATTTATTGTCACTCAGATAAATTGTAAAATGACACTTTAATTCCGTTCAGTTTGTATTTATGTCGCTGCTACCACGTCACCTGACTGATCGTCTTCGTGGTTTCCGTTGCGTCCGAACAGAACACGGCGCCGACAGTGTTGCGTGTCCCAGCAGGAACCGAAACAGAAACACTAAACAGTACAAATATGGTTCCTTTGTGCGCTGTGGGAGAACCGTGTGCTGCTGGTGTCGTATATATGCTCACTGACACTTCTTCCACTGGGACTAACTTCACTGTAGACCTGAGCTAACGTACTACATGTTATTTATCGAGGCATTTATGTGCACTTAAGCAAGCCGGTAACTCAGACACAATCCGGTTACGCAGGTGCTACGTTAAATGTAAGACGGCGTATACGAGCAGGAGGTCGTTAATCAGATTCGTCCTCTACTGCTGACCTCGTTTTGGATCCATAGCTTTGATTATTTTAACTCTATCGCTGACAAAAGACTCAGTACAGAAGATGCACATGCAGGAATCTAGCACACATAAAAGCTCAGTGGGATTTAACTAATCACACGTTTAAAGGATAATGTGTTAGTTAGTATTCCTCTACAGTCTGTTGTCATGCAC